GACAAATGTTGCAAAGCCTTCTTAAGCTATAAAAAGAACGATATCGTTTTAATATTTGGTTCGCTACCGATAAACAAATTGAAAGATACTGAGTTTGTGCCGTGAGACTTCCTTTTGTAGGTCTTGCGGAAGTTGTATGATGCGACGCGATCTCGAGTTTCAGAGACCTCACAACAAACAGCTTTTCGCGAGATCTCTGAATAAAAAGCAGCTAAATTAAACAAAATTCATCTTCATGACGTAAAGAGAAGCTTTGGAAGAGCTCGAAAGAAAAAGAAGCAAACAAAACGCGGATTTCAGCCCAAGCCGATTCATGCACGAGTGACTCACGCAACTGCAATGGTTAGCGACAGAGATAGACGAGCGAGAATTTTCGTAGTATTTATTCCCTTACCTCCAGTTCCATATCGTTATCTTCTCCCCCACCAAATAACTCGTCTGGGTCAAATTTTACGTCTGTGATAGAGTCTCCTAGAAGATACGAATCATCACCCCGTTCAAATACGAAAAGCGAAGCATATATGGTGCCCGACATTACAAGCTTTCAAAAATCCTAACAGACTCGTGCAACAAACTCACCCCAATCTTCAACTCCCAATAGATTGTCGGCAAAAAATTTCGTGTCCGACTCCGACCAAGCTAAAAGTTCTGTCTGAGACATCATCTTCACAGCATGTAAAACCCCCCAACACCGATCTATAGTACAATATAAAAACCGAGATCTAGAAAAAAAAGCCTTCACAGCAGCTAAAACTGATTCATCACTCATGAAATACCAGTTTCTCGAACCCAGATTTCTTCGGACAATAAAATTTTACGCGTAAGGAATCCTGGGATCGACAGGTTGCGGAAACCCAATCCAGGCAAATAAACCTCTTTAGTTGAGCCATTTCTAGTCCCAAGGAAATTCCAAGCCTTATCTTTGGTAAACTTTTGGTACATATGCACGTAAATAAGAAAATTTTGAAAGCAACAGTTCTGTGGAGTATTATAACATGCTTAGAGATGGATAAACAAAATATTCAAGTTGAAGAGGTCTGTTCGATCGCATATTAGAAACGCTGTGACGAAATGCCCGGCAGCCGGGCACGGTCTGAAATAGACTAAATGCCCGGCAGGCTGAAAGTTTCACAAATTTCCACCGAAAGGTTCTTTCAAACTTTTTGGGAATATCAGATGTTGTATTTCTCTAGAAATGTCAAGCGATTTCAAAATTAACTTGTTTTTTAGCGGATAAATTATCCGAGCGTGTACATGCTAAAAAATCGCTCGGTTGTTGACACTTTGAAATTGTACGCTCGAACATGGTCTCGAATAGACTAAAGCCCGGCAGTCAGAAATTTTCACCGAAGTGCCACTAAATGGTGCCTTGAAACTTCTAAAGTGTGTCAGATCTTTGTTCAGAAATGTGCGATTCCAAAAAAAAATGTTGTTGATTTAGTGGACAAATTCTCCGAGCTTGTGCATAGTAAATTTTTAATGTGTTTTAGAATGTTCTTGACATTGAATATACTCAATAGGTTTATATGAAGTTTTCAGTGCCATTTCGCTAAAAATTCCTGACTGTAGGACATTTGGTCCATTTGAGACCTTACTGGTAGTCGACAACCAGGCAATATATATTTCAGTATGTTCGGAAAAATTGTCCCAAACAATTTTTGGAATGGCTTGACATTTCTAGATCTCATATTCAAAATCTTATACTCTCTATAAGTTTCAAGGAACCTTTCAGTGGCATTTTGGTAAAAATTTCTACCTGCCGGGCATTTAGTCCATTCGAGACTATGCTCGGCAGTCTGATCAGCATACAATTTTTGAGTGTCGATAACGAGCAATATTACAGCGTGCTCAAGCTCGGAGAATTTGTCCACTAGGAGGCCAAATCAATTTTTGGAATCACTTCACCTTTCTACACAAATATTTGATATTCTTAAGAAGTTTGAAAGAACCTTTGGGTGGAAATGCTGTTAAAATTTCTGTATGTCGGGCAGTTAGTCTCATGATTTAAGACCATGCCCAGTTGTCGTATTAGAAATTATAACCAGTAAATAAATACTTTTTTCATAAATTTCTCAAATTTGCCCCCACAAAGAATTATTCGAAAAATAGATGAGTTAGGAAACATTGCAAAAAAGGTTGGAAACCCTCATATACATTCTCTACTGAAAACTTTGTAACGCCGTTAAGACAACCCTTAAGTTAAGACAAAATTTAGTTCGTTGTTAAAAGTATACTTTTATGGATGGGTCAAAATCCGGTTCATCTGTTTCCGGAAGGTTTCATCGGACTGGTGCGTCTGTTTTCGGATGGTTCCATCGGATGGGGTTGTACACGTCCGATTGCATGGAAAATCATGCATGTAATGGCATGTGCATTCGATGTTAGCACTCGATCTCACAGGTCTCGCAGCAAGGTTCATATGCAATTTCTTTCCATTTACAAGCTTTTGAACGATTACTGACGTTTTTTAATTTATACTACAATTGCCTAAGCATGATACGGTCGTATAATTTTTTGTTCGCGTTTTTTTTTTTTGTAGCAGAGGCTCCTCTTCACACACGCGTCGATCTCGCGTTCGTGTCGCCTGCCGACATCCATCTGAAAAAATCAAAATAATGACAACCGATGTGTAGGTTATCGACACAATTTCTTGAAAAGCTACTGATCGAAGAAAAACTGATGCCGATTGAAAGTCAAACAATAGCCCTTGGTTAGAAGCTTGTGAAACAGTTTCAAAGTTGCGAGAATAGCAATAATAAATAAACTATGAAGGCATACGATCTTACTGATAGGGTACTAGACTCCCCCCTTACAAGAAGGAATGAATTAAGGGGGTTAGTCTCTAAAGAAACTGTGGTGCTGCGTCGGTGGGAGAGTATAACAGGGCAAGTTAGAGTTATCAACTGAGTTGAAAACGTAAATTGGCCATCGTGAAGAGTTTTAAGGCTGACTATGACGTTTCGAGCGTTAGCCCTTAGTCTGAGCGATTAGGGGAATTGTGGGTTGTGTGTAGGTTTATATGTAGAAAATGGAGCCATACACTATTGGTGGGAATATGGTGACGAGAAAACAAGAATAAATTAGTTGAATGAAAAGCGCCCGTTGATACCGTGGGGATTAAGAGCGCCGATTTGCAATTGGAAGATAAATTTTTTTTCAAGGGTTCTTGCGGCTTTCCGAACTGCAAACTGCCATATGCTATTTAGAATGATTAGGGAGATTAAAGTGTCTAGCGACTGGTTTGGATGCGTCCTTGTCATTTCTTTCTACGTCGCGAAGGTGTTCTCGGAATCGGTCAATTAGTCGTCTTCCTGCTTGACCAATGTATAACTTTTGGTAATAGGTGCAAGTCACGCAGTAAATGACATTGGCGGAGGTGCACTTAAAGTGATCGGTGATCTTAATGGATCTCTTGGGTCCCGATATTTTCTCCACGTTATGAATGAAAGGACAAGTTTTGCATCGTGAGCGAGAGCATTTGAAAGTTCCAGATTGATCATTAGTTTAAAATGAACTTCTGACCAAAAAGTTTGCAATGTTTTTTTTCACTTTTGAATGAAATTAGTGGAGGTTGCGAAAAGATAGTATCAGTCTCTTAATCGTTTTGGAGTAATTTAAAGTTTTTAAGAAAGAAAGATTTAAAATAACTGCGTGGTTGTGAGGGTGAAATGTAAGAGTGAATGGAATACGATCAGTGTTTTCCTTCTCAGCGGCGGTTTGTAGTGCTAATTGTCGAACGACGTGCTTGAACGACGTACAGAAACAGGATAGCCGCGTTTATCGAAAAACTGGCACATTGCCTGTGATTTTTCGGAAGAATCATAGTCGTCATTACATAAACGACGAAGACTGAGAAATTGTGAAAAAGGTATGGAATTCTTGACGTGTGATGGATGCGAAGATTATTATTACATCTCAATCTTTAAACTGTCATTCCCAATGACGAAGGTCTCCGAGCCCTCAAACACTTTTTCGATCAACGCACTGTTAAGGAACCTAGCTCTGAAACACTTCTCCGTCTGGCCGAACTAGTACTTACACCCAATTGCTTTTCACTCGGCGGCAACAACTACAAACAAACTAATGGCGTAGCCATGGGTAATAAAATGGGACTCAGCAACGCCAATCTTTTCGCAGGTTTTATCACACACCAATTTTTCAGTCAATACTACTGCCCCGAACCTGAACTCCACGGCCGCTACATTGACGACTGCATCGGCATTACTTCCTCTATCAGAAAGGAGTTAAATCAATTTATAACCGCCGTCAATTCCTTTCATCCGGCTCATAAATATATATACTGGCAAATTTCCGACACTTTTTCGGCTTTTCTGGACATCAAAATTTCAAAGTTGAAGGCAATGGTCTATGCACTAGTGTTTACTACAAACCTACAGATTCACCAAGTTACTTGTTGTATTCATCTAATCACTTTACGTGCACCCCCGCCAATGTCATTTACTGCATAACTTGCACTTATAGCAAAAAGTTTTACATTGGTGAAACAGGAAGACGACAGGGTGACCGAATCCGAGAACACCTCCGCGACGTAGAAAGAAATGACAAGGACACATCTAAACCAGTCGCTAAACACTTAAATCTCCCTAATCATTCTAAACAGCATATGGCAGTTTGCGGCCTTTCCCTACATCTGCCGCAAAACTCTTGCACAAAATTTTAACTTCCAATTGCAAATCGGCACTCTTAATCGCCCCGACGAGCGCTTTTCATTCAACTAATTTATTCTTGTTTTTTCGTCACCATATTCCCACCAGTAGCGTATAGCTCTATTATCACATATAAAGCCACACACAAACCGCAATTCCCCCAATTGCTCAGACGAAGGGCTAACGCTCGAAACGTCAGCCTTTAAACTCTTTACGCTTACAAAGAAGAAAACCTCGCCGTCTTGCAAAATATCTTATGCACGGACAACTCCCTGCCCGTAGGCGAGGACTCGAAAAGGCCTTCAGCTGACCTTATTTTAGATCGAAATAGAACCCCTACGGTATCTTTCGAAGTGATTTCCGTTATTTTTCTCAGAAACCTAGCTCTTGTTTCATTCGGTAATATGGTTAAGTTACATAAGAAAAAAAAAATAAAGCAGAGCTAGAAATCATTGTTCTAACTCGTGACCTACGTGCATATTGTTGTAGTGCCTCTTTTTTTAATTGCTTGTATTTCGCCCTTCGCCACCCAATAAAACTGAAATTTTTTGCATCTTTTTGTAGACGGATAAAGTTTTTTTTTTAAAGCTTTGCACTTTATTAAACACAGAGTTTCCTATTTCCCCTTCGCTTAATCCTCCTTCAGGGTTCAAAAGGTTAAGGTAAATTTGAGTAGTGTTGAGTATATCCTGCTTAGCTTGCATGGTCAATGTTCCTTTGAAATGCTATTTTTAAAACAACTTCCTGAATAGATCAAAGAATCCATTTATTGTTTCGATTTGCCTTTTCTTGTATACAAATTAAAGTCCAGGGTTACATGTCGTTGATAGTAAAGGCACGCGTGGAAAGTGTTGGGGGAAGTTGTGTTTGGATACGTAGAATACTTAATTTTTTCTTAAGCTGAGCCTTGCCTTCGTGTAATAGTTGAGGAAAAGCCTTTTTAATTGCCTTTTACCACCTTTGGGGAAAGCAATTCTTTGCAAATTGAACCAAAATTGGAGATGAAAACGCTGCAGGGGTTAATTTCCTAACGTTTTTACAGTGATGATCGTCCTAAGTTCTCACAACGCAAATGAAAATTGCTTGACGTGATAGTGACCAGGTAGCTTTCGTGCAAGGCGTCTTCGTGACGGTTGCTCTTTGAGCCCGAGGCTATCAACAAGAACAAAGGTAAGAACATATGGTTGACTTTAGACATTGTTCAAGTGTTTAAGATGACAGATCGCTCAGATGGAGTTAATCTTTCTAAACCAAACGTAATGGTAAAAAGTGAGTCAGCTTTCTCTTCATTCTTCTACTAAAAAATCCTCAGCTATGTTAATCATTCTTACAAGATTATCCCTTTTTTTTTTCTTTCTTTCATTAAGCGTCAGAAAATCTTGTGACGACGATAAGAAGATGATATGACTTTAGTAATTAAATAATAGGGGGATTGGATGTCCCAGGGACAATAGATCTTTTATCAGGTGATGAGCATGCCACAGGAACACAAACAATAGATAGCTCGTACGATTGATCAGGCGACCTGGGTGATTAAGTGAAAAGAGAGCTGAGGTGTGCATATAAATTCCGTCGATCAAGCCCAAAGTAGGCAAGTACAGCCACGAGTGGAACGTGCACTATGAAGGCTCTCGTACTTTCGCTGTTTCTTCTGATCGCGCTGGTTCATGGGTTCCCAGGTACGTCTTTTAAACACGAGACTTTCTGGTGCATTTTAATTTAAAAGTCATTTTTTTTACGTCACTATCGCTATTTCACAAAAGCAGCTATATGTCGAAGGAGAATGACCTTTTCCAGGATGGGTTTTGAATGTGCTTTACTGTATGTTTTCCGAAATTCGAACGAAAAAGAAACAGCGGGGAACTTTATAAAATAAGTTGTATCTCTCAACTGAATAGTTAGCCGGATTTTTCACAGAGCCGATTATGTTTTAGTAAGACAACGGAAGTGTCTTTAGCCCGTTCATATGCTTTTTTTGTGTGCGTTTTTTGTTTTGTGGTTGTATACTTACAAAGCATTGTGACCACTGACATTTTTTTTTTACCGGCAGCAAACCTGGGAATCAAAACACCGACGAAGGATTCGGACCAGGACTGGAAATTTGAAGACTGGAAGGCGAAATGGGGGAAGATAAAGAAGTTGGGAGGACTAATGAAACAGGACGACCAAGCTGGTATGTCAGTGATTCGTTGGTGCGTCACCAGCCCTTACGAAATGAAGAAGTGCGAAAGAATGGCGATGGAATTCAACTACAAAGTCCAGCCTCGGATGCAATGGAGCTGCGTAATGGCGTCATGCAAAGAATCGTGCATGAAGGAGATTCAAAATGAAAATGCAGACATCATGACTGCCGAAGGTGACGAGATTTACACGGCCGGGAAGATGCACAACTTAAAGCCGATCATGGTTGAAAAGGAGGACTATGTCGGGGTTAACAACTATGATACGAAGTTTAGGAGGTTTGAAGAAGCCGACGGTACCCTCAAGCATTATTCCGTTGCTTTGATTAGGAAGTCCACCACCGGTATCAACAGTTTCCAAGACTTGAGTCAGAAGAAATCATGTCACCCTGGCGTGGACTCAAAAGCCGGTTTCAAGTCCCCGGTTTGTTCGCTGATAAAGAAAGACATCGTACCCGAGGTCGGAAATGTGTACGAGTGCGCCGGGGAGTTTTTCAGTGACAGCTGCCTACCTGGCGTGCAACACGACAAATTCAACCCCAACATGACAAACCCGGAATCTCTGTGCAAGTTATGCAAAGGTATGTGAAATTTGAGGAATCGAAAGGTTTTAAGTTTCTTGTTTGTGCGCATTTCGGTAAATCACTATGACGCGCTCAGCCGGTGACCCGTTGTTCACGTGGCGGTTTTTTTTTTGCTATAAATTTCAAAAGGTTCTACATACCAAATGGCTCTCAGTGGCTTTATTTGTTGACCCAATATCCAACCAATAGATTATTTCTGACCTGAATTGATGCAACTGTGTCAAATTGAGTGTTTTCGCTGGTTTTAGCGAGAGTTTTCCTTTTTTGCACCCAAATAAAGAAAAGAAAAAAGACGAGAAGAAAATTTAGGTTAAGAATTTTAGGATCTGTGTACGCAATATTGAATTGGAAAAAATGAACGTAAAGATCTGTTCAGGTATGCGTGCGATAAGGAGGTTACTGAAGTTGAAGTTTCAAAAAACAGATTTTTTACATCACGTTCTGTAGCAACATGACCCTTTTAAAATTTGAGGGCCGGAAATTAACACTAAAAACTAAATCCTATCGACTTAAAAGCAAATGTACAAGCCCAGGCCGAAATTACATTTCAGCAGAATTCTGTTTGATAAAAAAGTTGAGACAAAGTGCTCACTAAATGCGGAAAATCAAATCGCACACTTGTCTGAAAGTCCTCTTTAATTTCGCTTTTTTTTTTTTTGAGATTCCTGATCTTCCGTTTGTTTTAAAAAAAGAAACCTCAAGTACTGTAGTGCCAATAGTTCATTTCCTGTTTTCAGATAAAATGGAAAATCATCCGTTATCCAAAAGTATTATTTCAGATCTCGTTATGGGTGATAATGGAAAGAAAAACGGATATGCATTGGAGGGCGATCGAAGGTTCTTTTCAAACTCGCTGTAAAGTGACACCCAAAAATAATTAGTTCCTTTCTTTTGTTCATCAGGGAAAGCATATGCTTACTTAGTTCATGTGACTCGTGGCTCGTGAATGATATCGAATGAGATGACTGCAAAAGAGGTCATCCTCTGCATGAGTTCAAAATTGTTTTTTGATGCACCGCAACTTTTCGAAGGGGGGGGGGGGGTAGTTCCCCTTATGCTTGTAAAATGTGGAAAGTTGCTCACTGGAATACCAAAACATTTTCCGAAACAATTTCCAAAAATCCAAAAAATTGTTACCTAACTTTTAAAAGTTGCCTTCATAAATTCTTTAAAACTTTTATGTAACCGTTTACTCGAGGCTTTATTTTTCGTTATTCACAGTAATTACTGTCATCTGTCAATAGCTTGAAACTTAGCTTTAAGGAGCTGCTCGCAATATGGGCGAAATTTAATTAAGGATACCTACCGTAAGTCTAAAGGAACAAAACACATGGTTCGTCTTCTGCGTAAAAATTGCTTAGAAAAGCAAAAACTGTTCGAAGTTGCTAGAATCACAAAAAGTTGCTCCAAACGCCAAAAGTTGTCGCTCAAAAGTTGCCGATGACAATCGGGAGTGTCAGGGGGAGGGGGGTGGAAGTTTTTTGTTTGGATCACATAGTTATCGGGGGGATAGGGGAGTCAGTTATCGCCAACAGAGTATAAAGGCGGGAATTTAGAAAATTAACTGCCAATTAACTGTCAGTGAGGATGGGAGGGGGGGGGGGGGGAGAGGGAAGATTGTTAGAATATGACAGGGCTTTATGAGGGGATCAGGTAGATTTCTTCGTGACACAACCAGGGACTCATGCAAATCAGATATGTAAGCAATCATTCAAAACAAGTTTACTCTCATAATGTTATTTATGGATTCGTTTCGGATCAAGGATAGTTGTGTGTGAGTATGTTGTTTTCTCTCAACGAGTAATTACAGCTATTATGCATTTCGCAATTTCTTAAGAATTATCAAATGGATCTTCGATCGTATTAATAATGCGTTTCTCAAGAACATGAAAAGGTATTGAAAGACATGACTAGGTATTCACGGGAATTTTGCAGATTACATCTTTTTAACCCCTTCACTCCCAAATCGTATTAGTAAATCTCCTTACTGTCTGTCATACAATTCTTATGACGTTGGTTCGAAGAATTTATCATTGGATCAGCTAAAAATCCCCTTATTTATACTTTTCTTGATTCTCATCACTAGTGTGTTTGATATTTTACTGATATTGTGAAGAAAAATTCTGTCTGGGTCACTCATGAAAGTTAAGGGGTTAAATCCATGTGGCCGAAGGAATCTACTGCATATATAACTTCCAATTATTTTTGGCCGCTCTCACAATACTACTTTACACATACATACCTGCTGTGTACACAGTATTTTAAAAAGTTTTTCATTAGGCAAACAGATCAAACTATTTAAATAATTCTAATTAACTTTCTTTTTGCTGCAAGATAAGTCTTTGGTCTTGTGGCAAAGTGAGATTTCATGTGCGATTTCTCACGACGTCTTTCACGTACTAGCATCATCCAGATAGTCGTTATTATTACGTGCCTTTATGCTTAAATTGTGATTTTGCATGCATAATATATAGCGAAAAAAAAGTAAGAAAAAGAAAACAAAAGAAAAAAAAAAGGCCGAAAGAACGAAAGGAAGAAAGAACGAAAAAAAAAACATGCAACAACAAATCTGAGGGATTTCTTCTTTTTTGTGTGTGTTTCACTCAGGAGAACTAGATAAAGATGAGAAGTTCTGCAAGACCCTCTCAGACAAGGAGCCGTACTATGGATGTGACGGGGCACTGAAGTGCCTTCAAGACGGAGAAGGCGATGTGGCTTTCTTCCACACGCGCGATATTTTGATGAAGTACGACACATTTTCAAAAGAGTTTGATATCGTTTGCAAGAACGGGAAGCGTACTTTGACATGGCAAAACTTCAAGACACCAGAATGTCGTCTAACTGAGGAACATCCCCAGGTATTTGACTTAAGCGGCTGTTATGTATTTGAATTCGCAGACGTAAGGCTAAAAATCCGGGGCGAGGTTAGACCTAAGCTCAGCCAAAGACATTCGTTTGTGTTTATAAAACCCTTTCACAGTGCTCCATTTCATCCAAGATTATAAAACGGGTATGAACAATCTGTTATGGCAACCCTGCACAATACTATGGAGGGGTGGGGAGGGGGGGGAAGCTACCTGCGGGAGGAAAAGCAATTGTCTTTTCACGCCAAAGGAACCACAATGAGCTTTAGCGTTGTGGATAAATTTAACTCTTGTGTAGAATATCTTATATTTCTTATTGAGGTGAATGGTTCGGGCGACTTGCTGATTTTCAAATTTAAGACAAATTTATTTTATACGTTAATAAGAGCTTGAAATTCTATTAAGATAATATAACAAATATCATTTGTTCTCACATAACACACAGCATTTTCTTTGTCCACATAGGTTTTGATGGTAAATGATAAGAAACCGAAGAACTGGATAAAAAAATGTGTTGATGCTCTCACCGACGCCTCAAAAAAATTCTCGTCACCAACCAGCGGTGAGTTTGGTCTGTTTGACTCCACCCCATATTGCACGAAGGATGACAGTGATGAGAAAGGAAGCGAGCTGACGGACGGGCTATTCAAGTGGGACGAAAATGTCATGAAGAAAAAGGACCTAATCTTCAAAGACTATTCTGGTTCTCTGAAACCCATTCCAGAGGTAATGTCGGTGATATTGTCAATACGTGGTCCTTTAAGGTGGCTCTAGACATTAGATATTCAAATAGGAATAAGAGAATACGGAAAAATTGTTAGTGACAAATCAAATAAAACGAGATGAAATTGAAATTTTGGAAATCACTCAGCGTTAATCGAAGCTTAAAGGGAAAGTACAGAAAATTTCCAACTCTGAATAATTATGCTCTCTGCAAATATTCAATGTATATGAGACGCAGTATATAGCTCTGATTTGATAGTTATTTACCTAATGCTGCCACAAGGGGGCGTAATTAATTCCTTACAGTACACACACACACACTTTCATTTGCCGCTGACATGAGATACACTTTTAACCAGTGATCATAGAAAGCTATTTGGTTGTCTTAGGTTGACAGCAACTGAAACGGGTAAGAAGCAAACGAAACAAGAAAAGAATACCAAAACAAGCTCAGAAGGGTCTTTCGTTTATTCAGGACCGTTATTTTATTTTCTTTTAGGAAAAAAGAACCTACGAGAAATTCCTTGGCAATGAAATGGTCGGTGTGTGGAAGACCTGCGAGCAGTTAGAGCCCAAACCCCGCGCTTTCATCTGTGTTGTTGGAAACGACCAAATGAATAAATGCCAGGATATGATCATCAAATTCCAAACGATAACTGGTAAGTTTTAACGTTTGCAGAGTAGATTATTGCGAACTTTTGTCGGGAAATATTTTGCAGCAATGTTCGGATCATGACCGTATTTTATGGCCAACTTTCTTACAGTTCTTAAAAAGTTCTAGAAGAAAACACTTACCTTTTCCCTTGGCAATTGTCACGATGTAGTGAACGTAGATCATCCTCAAAACCTGTGCCATTCTGAAGCAAAAGAAAGAAGTCTAACAGCAGTTTTCTTGAATTAGATTAATGCTGTTTAGTAACTTAAGATAGGGTTTGCCACGAATTCCTTCAACTAGCTTTTAGCTGTTCGTTCGCCAAATGCGAGCGAACAATTTTGCAAAAAGTATTACTATTGTTGTCACTAAGATAAAATTATCTCAGCCGCTGGTTACCATTTTTGTTTATCAACAGAGGTAAAAAAAGTGTCCTGGGGTTGTATAGAGGCACCCTCTAAGCAAGAGTGCGTAGAAATGGTGGCTTATGGCCAAGCTGACATGGTCGATCTTAACGCGATCGAAATGTTCGTGGCAGGAATGGATTTCAATCTGGCTCCTTTTGTTGCGGAGAATTACAAGGAGTAAGTATGACAATTGTGCAGCTTGATGGCAATCTAAATCTTAGATTTGTGTTTCAATGAGATAAGCGGGGAAATACCGACAAGGAAAAGATTTTAGGCAACAATAACGAGTGAAAAAGTCGCCATCAGAAGATAACTTTAGGGTGTAAATAACAGGATTAAGGGAAGACTCTCTCCCATTCTACCTAGAGGAAACTCATGTGTAAACCACCGCCCATTTCGAAAATTCTGAAAGTGGGAAAAGCAAATACTTCCTACTCGTAGGTCCCAAAAATGTGCGTGAATCAAGAACTGCGGTTAGCCGCAAATTGAATTAAGACCTTCAAATTATAGAAGCGCTGCCGAACATGTTGCAATAATGTCTATGAGAGCGTGAAAATATGTTGAATCTTTAACTCAGGGGAAAAAAAAAAGCTTTGCGATGCAGACAAAAGCGACATATTTCATGGACTTGCCGTTTCCTGCCTTTAATTAAGTGAGTTTAATGTATATACCAGTGCGTATCATTTATTTACTGCCAAAATTTCACTTTCGCTCTAACAGTAAAGATCCAATGACAGAAAGTATCACCATCGGTGTCATGCGCAAAGACATCAAGAACGATCTTCCAGAGATGAAGGGTTTGAAAATGTGCAATGGAGGTGTGGACAAACTCAGTGGATTCCTGCACCCTATGGGCTGGCTTATGGCTAATGGCACCGTACCAAGAGGACCCACGCCTTTGGAAGCAATTGGGTTAGTTCATTATTTATACGCAATCATGCAACAAAAATGCGAGTTTTGAGGAAGATTGGAAGAATGTTACATAGGGAATCTCTTTTTTTTCCCTCCCTCATACGAACTTAGTCTAACCCTAAAGCTCTGTTATATTTTAGAAAATACTTTGGCAAGAGCTGCGTGCCCGGTATTGACAAAATGGACCTCACCTCTCACCCACTGCTTTCACGCACACTGAACTGGATAGGCATGCTCAAAGACAAGATTGTAAGATGGGAGGACTGGTTCAGTGCCCCTCTCTGGCGTTTGTGGAAAGACAAGCGGGACGGTAAAAGTGTCGACTACATAGCCATGCACAAGATCGAGGACTTTCAATGTCCAGAGTTTAAGGCGATGATTGAAGAAATGGGCTCTTTCAATCCACGCATGCGTAAACACTACACACCGATGATTCATGAGATCCTTGAGAAGGTAAATACTTTATATCGAAACGAAATATATCTTAAAGAGAGGCTGATAAACGAATCTAGACCGTTTTAATGTCCTACCACAACAGTCCCAGTTGGTGAGACCGCGTTTAAGTCAGATTCCTGAAGGGTAGAGTATTGAAAAAGACCAAGAGAATCGCACACTTGCTTACCGAATATGATTTGCACGAAAATGTAACTGGTGCTTTGAAAAACGGGCATTCAGAAACATCCAACTCCTCCAATTTAATGGTCCCACTTACTGTAAAACCAAAATCTTACCAGGCTCTCGAATCTTATGTCCACCAGCTTCCTATTGAAAATGATGGCTATCCTCAAGTGCTTCCTCTCACTGAAATTAAGAACAATCTTTCCCGTCTTACAAAAGATAAGCCTAACTGAAGTATTTTTCCTAGAAATAAAAATTGTTAGGCTTTCTATTCAATCATCTCTTAGAACTGATTGCCTGCCATTTACCTTTGTGAAGATCAGGAAAATCGGTTTTCAAAAATGTAGTTTTTAAACAGCATGCGCAATTTCAAGACACATTTGCATGTCGTTTTTCTTGCACGATAGACTGGGAAGGATTTCAAGTGGGAAAACTACGAAGGCTTGAAAGATTTCTATGGCTTTAAGATGCCTGAGTGGAAGATGATCGGGTGGGTGTGGCACAAACCTGAAGACTGGACAGAAGAGCAATGGGCGTTCTTCCTGATGTGGGCCGAGCGCTCCTGGGATCAAAAGGAAGACTTGGCGTTTTACGTTGAGAAGTGGACGGATGAAGACTGGAAGACATTTAAGACCTGGATGGACGCAGAGTTTCAAGATTACCAAACATATGACAAGTCTTTACATAAGGATACTTTTATCAGGTAATCAAGGACGAATCCTGAAGTTTTTTTTAAAGGGGGTGGGTTAAAAACTTAAAACTTAAAAATGCTAAGAAATATTTTAACGAAAGTACATTTGAATACTTCAAATAGGGTAGTAACTAGTGATCTCACTGTCCCAAGAACTTTGGTGTCCGACGAAAGGTGAAGAGACCCACAGATCTGATAAGGGAGAAGGGGTGTGGGGTTCGGTTTTATCTCTTTTTATTTTTACTGCGAAAAAAGAACAAAGAGCTATCGAGATTTTTGAAGCTAATACGTTAAAGTACGAATAACATAAGTTATTGTATAGATTATAATTTCCAAAACTCGTATATGCGGTTAATTTGTTTCATTTTCCAGTTTTTTAGAGCTTTAGAGAGTCAAATATGACATTAAGCCAGTGATTCTAATAATCCTTAGGTCTCAGTAATTTTAGTCCAGCGACATTTATTAATAAATATTCATTTTGTTGTACCTCCGTAGACTTACCCTCTTGTGCTCTCGTTACTATTGGCTGTTGAATGAATGGAAGAACCTCCAGTATGACGACATCGACATGAGACAATACCGTGAAAAGTTGTGTGATATCTGTGCTGGCCAAGGTGACGAGAAATGCTCCATGGATTCTAGCGTCGAAGATTACTACGGCTACCAAGGAGCATTGAAGTGCCTCGAGAAGAAACATGGCAATGTTGCTTTCATCGATGCCTACACTTTTGACGATACCATCAAAGAAAATTCTTATAGTAAAGACGACTTTGTTCTCTTGTGCCCTGATGGTAAAACTGTAGAGTACACTGGAGCTGATTCTTATGAAAAATGCAACTTTGGTCGTGTACCTTCCCATGCACTCGTCACCTGTAACATGCACGATGGCATATGGCGATGGAAGGTTACCAAAGCCTTGCTTGAAGCTCAGAAAGTCGTGCCACAACAGGTATTCAAAGATTGCATATTCAGCAAGAACATGGAGAGCTTGACACCTATACCATTTGTCAACCAGACCTACCAAGTAAGACTTGGCCCGATGTTCCTTCGTGCCATGGAAAGCCTCGTGCAACCACCAGGTAATACATCCTTCCAACACAATCTTTTTAATTACGTTTTGAAGGTATTGTACTTAGTCGACCGTTATATATCTTGAATTAGCAGACTTTAGGCCAACGATGCAGGCGTAGGTTAGGCCTTTGCTCGGCTAAAGACATTCTTTGATGTTTATGAAACCCGATGCTTTCACAGCCTTGGTGTCATGATTATGGCCCAATTTTGCTCGCGTGTTTTAATTATGTTTCGAATAATTGTAGATGCATGATTTGGCTATGATCCTGAGAGAATTCCGGCTTATTGGTAACTTTTTGAGAAAATGAATTCATGTCAGGAGCAGTCGTTTTCTTGCAGGGCATTCGCACGAACGACGTTGCGCTACTGATCATTTTTCATGGCATAGCTTACCTCGATTCGATTGTTGCATATATGCTTGTTCCTAAATCTTTCTTCCTTGTATTTCCTCGGCAGTTAAAGAGAAAAAAATGAAATATTACGCTGATGATTGCCTTGGGGAAGAATGCGACGGAGATGAAGAGGACAGGCCCGCCTGTGATGATTGTCTAGAGGGTGACAACGTGTGTCTTGAGAACTGCTGGGATGAAGAACCCGTAGAAATAGAAAAACTGCCTTTCCAACAGAACGACAGACCAATGTTCCAAGGCTATCAGATTCCTAAGAAACCTGACTATCTAAAAATAACAGGAAAACTCGGAGGCAAGAAGATCCTGATGGGTGGTGTGAAAAAGATTACTCTTTGGAAGCCAAAATCCCGGAAAAGCCGTCAGATTATGGGCAAAATGCAAACGAGTACGATGGAATTCGGCATGAAAGGACATATGAATCACCATGATCATATGAGATCCATGGATGGGTTTATGATGGGTTCTCAGCCTGGCATGCGACTTATGAAGCACGGAGTGATGCCAACAATGCGAGGAAGGATGTTTCCACATCCAAAGATGTCTGCCGGACCAAAAAAGTTCGGTATGAAACATATGATGAAGTTTGGACCCATGATGACATCTGGCGTGGACAAAATATACATGACGCCTTCAAAAGTGATGGGAATGCATCCTTTCAAGCCTTCGTCCAAGTCAATGATGATTACGATGAAGATGATGGGCAAACAGCAGTTCATGAACGAGCCAATGCATGGCGGTAAAATGGCCAACCATTTCATGGAAACTGGTCCACTGATGCACAGTCGCAAATCCATTCGCGGCGAGTTTTACACCAACGTGATCTTTGTCCGTGATGGTACCTGTAACACAATTGTTCATGACCTTACCTGCTTTGGAGAGAAGAGGATCATAAGAATGAAAGCTGGACGTGTCAGCCAAACTCCTATCTCTGTCCCCATGTGTCCACGACCTACTGTCTTTAAGAACACCACCGCCATATTTACGTGCGACAATGGTGCCAGCTTTGTAAAGCCCATTTCTCTTCCCGTGAAATGCGCCTATGCGCCTTGCAAACCAGGATTCTGGCTCCCTGATTGGTCAAATGATCAGTACTGGCAAGGAGACAACTCGTATACTGGTGGCGATCATTGGGGAAACAAGCCTTGGTGGATGCTTGCCAGGCGACAGGAAAATGACAACTGGTTCTTGGCAGCACGAGACGAGAATCGCGTGTTTAAAAATTCCCAAAAGGGCAAACACTAAGAAACAGAACCAGATGAAGAATGTTCTTTTTAAGAGGTCAAAACATTCATTAAATACCGGACTGGTCAACTGGACTTACAAAAACAGGAATAAAAATCAAAAACAAGAAAAGTACCAAAAAAAAGTTTAATAGGTTAAAGGGTGCAAAACTTGTAGATTTACTTAAATTTTTCCATATAACAGGGGTAAGATTTTGTGCTATGTTTGTTCACTTTTATCTGATCATCGAACTAGATTAATGCTTTACGTGTGTTTTTTTTTATTTTTTATTTTTTTTGCCTATTATGGGAATCACCATATTAACGGTTTTTTCCTTCAACAAGGACAACTTTGTGTGATCACTTATTTTTTATTTCCCGTATTTCCCGTTTGAAATAGTGTTAAAGTGTGTCGGAATTAAAGAGCATTTCACAAAATATTTACTGACTTTTGCATATATGATACACAAATGGGGAAACTTGATGGCCTATTTTTCCAAGCAGCGCACTCTCGATCATAAGTTCCCCGTTCGCATACCAGGCTGGGATGATCCTTTTCAGATGTTGGACAGTCTCCCTTTTCACAACGTGGAAGGATGTCTGCGAACTTTGTGGAACAATTGAAAATACACTTGGGGTAGGTAAAGGGGCGGAGGGGGGGGGGAGGGTTGCTATCGAGTGGCCCAACCGCAAGACTGAGTAGAAAATACTATTAGTCGTGATTTGAGATTTAGGTCCAAAAAAAAAAAGTGCAAACCAACTTGTCTTGAAACAAGAAACGGCTTTCACCTTCCAAGACTTATTGGTTATAGTAATGAATCGGTACTGGAACAATTAACCAAAAACACTCCATAGATTCCTTCATTATGTATCAACTCTTGTGAACAATTCAAAAGACAGTGAGAAATAAGAGGTAAAGTTCATAAAAGCCATTTCCTTTTTTTTAATTGTCTCTTTTTCGAAGACGCGATCTGTTACACAGCTCTTACCTATGCTCTGGAAAAAAAAACGGCTAGATTAGTTATAAGGCAAGGCAATAAACTGTTTTCCAAATAAAGATTTGATAAATCTAAAAATTTCCATTTTGGGATAACATGGCAACGATTTAAAAATGTTTCTGGCAATTTGAGAATTGATCGTTCAGACCAGCAAGTTTTAAAATATGACAGTCGCACAAAAATACAAGAATCGCCTTTGCCACGTTTAGTAAGACACTTTACAGGATACTGACGATATTTTTGTTTACCTCTTTAGTAACGTAAGTGTCGTTACGTCACGTCTCAGAGTCCCGATCTCCCTTTAATTTTTTGATGCCACCAGTCAATCCCAGCTGTGTCTCAGTTTACTTGGTCGGGCTGTAGTGAGCGATTTCGACATTTCTTTATCATAGGATTTCGATGTGATAGTCTTTCAAAAAGTAATCTTTCACAATTCTTGCGCTTTTAGGAAGGAATAAGATTTTCAAAGTTACTTGCGTTACACGGCATGCCTTTGTATATCAAGTAACTGTCATCCGTTAATTTTGACCGCTGAACGAAACCTGGGTAACAGTAGTCAACTGAAATAGCACGGCATATCGCATACGATCTTAAAAACTAGTGACAGATAATGGAGAAATATGTCAGGATTGTTCAAAAGCTTACTTCGTTAAACATCAAATTAGTAGCAGTGGACTTTGATCAAACGATTATCAATATGCATACGTGCGGTGTGTGGCAATTTTCTAGTAAAAGTCTTGTTCCTCGTGTGCGGCCGTCTTTCAAGCAGTTCTTCAAGGCGGCGTTGAGTTGTGGCGACTTGCACGTAGCGATAGTGACTAAATCGCCGCAGATTTCTCTTATACGTGAGGTTATGGAGCAAGCTTTGCCTGAATGTGACACCAGTAGAATACATTATAGAGGCGCAGATGGAGAATGGAAGGAAGTGAAAGGAGTTTCGAAGGAAGGTACTTGCATTCATTTGCAAATTTCTGTTATCGATGGTTTGTTTACGCTATCGAAAAGAGTAGAAATAAAACACCGCGCACTCGAGACACTACTTACATTTCAGTTTGGATCGATTATTACTAGATTTCTTTCTAAATAAGCGAACTCTGTGTCCGGTTCAAACGTCAAACTTTACATGTGCCGAACCAACACTTGTAATGCAGTAACTAACAAAAGCAGAATTGCAGGTAAAAATTCAAAACCGAGAAAGACATAAGTTAACATCAACCTATACATGTAATTAATCGTTGGCCGTTAACATATCAATGAACAGGGAACAAAGAGAAGCGGTAGGCAAGTACTTTCAGAAGGTATCACGTCATTTTGATAATTTTTATTTATTTTCTCATGCGAGAAATTTAAAAG